TTTATTATTATTATAGACGGGCGGATGCCCAATAAAAAAATATACAAAGGAATGGTCGATGTAGTTTACAGTTATAAAATAATTTCTTATAGACTACAGACGAATTATACTAATTAATAGGTAGTAAAACACAAAAATAATAATAGTAATAAGGTAGTTGACTAATTATGGTATAAACATATATAATGATAGGATAATACACATCTTCATTAGGTACTAGATTCGACAGATACATATTATATTAATAAATTATTTAAATATGTTTTAAACAATTCAATAGTTGTGCACAAGAATAAATCAACATTATATGTATTAACTAATTCCATACATCGATTCATAGGTGCGTTTTTGCCATAGTTAGTAGATTGTAATGGAACATAGAACGTATTTAATTGTCTAGTACTTCGACTAGGAACCAGAAAGCTTAAGTTTGAAATTAAATTTGGACAGTAAACTTGTCCATTGAGTAATTTAAAAATTAAACACAAGTCTAGTCTTTTCCTTCTTATCTCCAGCGATTCCATATTTAAAACTTTTAATAGTGGTAAGTAGGAAGAATGAGGTTGACGCTGAATGTCGCACTTAAAGGACAGAAATCTCAGAAATCGATTTTGTATTGACTCTATTGCGCGTATCGGTCCTATTTTACTATGGGACCAAACCATTGATTCATAGTCCAAAATTGATCGTACATACGAGTAATATAAAGTTTTTAATGCATATGGATTGTTAAAACTTTTACAGCTTCGATTTATAAATCCTAGCATAGATGAAGCTTTATTTTGAATGTACAAGTAGACAAGTAGTGTTCATTAAATGTTAAAGATTCATCAAAGATTATGCCTAGATCCCTATTCTTATAGACGCGAGTGAGTTCAGATTCATATAAGAGGTAATCATAAAGATATTTTTCTCGTTTTTTAGAAAAAGTTAATACTTTGCACTTAGAAACGTTTAGAAATAAGTTGTTTTTGCTGCACCAATCCGAGAGGACGTTTATATCATTTTGAAGTAACACAGCATCGTTCGGTGACTTAATAACACGAAATAATTTGAGGTCATCAGCAAACAGCAACATATGGGAGTTGTTAAGTTTAATGTCATTAATGAAAATGTTAAATAGTAATGGAGCAATATGAGACCCTTGAGGGACACCTGAACTTACATCATACATACTTGAGTTAAAATTTTTAATTTTGACATATTGTTTCCTACCTGTTAAAAAAGACACTAACCATGAATAAAATGGATTTCGTAAACCTAAGTTGTATAGTTTAGCGGATAAGATATCATGGTCAATTTTATCAAATGCTTTTGAAAAATCCGTGTATATAACATCCACTTGAAGTCCTGCCTTAAACGCATCTAATAAATAATGTTGTAATACAAGAAGATTGGTACTAGTTGACCTACCTGACATAAAACCGTGCTGTTCGTCAATAATTATATTTTTAAATATTGTAATAAGTTTTTTAGATATAATACTTTCAAACATTTTTGGAATAACTGAAGTTACAGAAATGGGACGATAATTTGTTATTTGCGTATTATCCCCTCCTTTCGGAATTGGAGATATACTACTTACTTTCCATTTGTCTGGGAAAACGCCAGATGAGAGAGATAGGTTGAATAAATGAAGTAGCGGAATGGATAGAACGAGTTTGCATTCAGTAAAAAATGTGCTAGGTATTGCATCTGGACCAGGACAGGATTTAGTGCTTATGAGGTTGATTTCATCGTATATGTCATTTATAGTTAATATACATTTATTAAAGTTGACAGATATCAAATTAATATTTTCAATACTAGGAATTGGGTTGTGAATGGTTGGTTTATTAAATACACTAGAGAAAAATTTTGCGAAGAGGTTGGAGATTTCAGTGCCACCACAGTGATAAGTATTATTGTAAGTCATAGATTCTGGAAGATAGGCATGTGATCGTTTATTATTAATAAATTTCCAAAATAATTTAGGATTAGTTCTTATATCATTTTGGGCATTGGAAATTTAGTTATTATAGTCACATTTATTTTGTGACATACATTGAGCACGTAAATTCGAGAATTGGTTGTAATGAAATTGGTTTGGAGATCGCTTGTATACTATATGTGCAATTTTTTTCTTTAATGTCAACTGTTTTAACTTTTTACTGAACCATATAGGATATCTTGGCGTAAACAAATATTTCTTTGGACATGATGAATTTATAATTCTAAAAATATGTTCGTAAAAAATATGAACTGCATCATTAATATTTAAGTCATTGAATATTCCATTCCAATCTACAGAGGCAATACGCGATCTAATATTATCATAATCACAGTGAACAAAGTCATAAATTTGTTCTTTATAGCTTAAAGGTTGGGATACTAAGACAGCTGTTTTAATTAATAATGCCGGATGATACATACGATCTAAGGGTACAAGAGGATTAATTACAGAGGACACGCTTACATTATTGATATTCGAAAAAACTAGATCCAGCATTGAACCAGAGAGATTATAAACTATATTATGTTGATTTAAATTAGTATATGATAGATTAGTTAAAATATTTGAGTCGAAATTATTAACATTAGACAAATTGGGAGTAATACTATTATTTACAGAAGTCCATTTAATATTCGGGAGATTATAATCACCCAATATTAAAAATTTAGAATTAGGGTTTTTGCACATGAGATTATCTATAAGTTTGAAATGATCATTGTACAATGTACATAATAGAGTCAGAACGTGGCGGTAAATACACTGTGCCAACTATTAATGAAAAATTATTAATACTTATTTCTATATACAGTTGTTCAATTGAATTTTCACGTAGAGATAGTAGACGGCTGGGGAACTTGTTATTGACTGCTATAAGCACACCTCCACCTCTTACGTCGACGGCGCGTATGTTACATCTGTCGCAACGGAATATTTGGTAATTGGTGCAGAGTCCAAGCTCTGCGTTATTTACGTTGTTTGATAGCCAGGTTTCAGATAAGGTAATAATATCATAATTAGAGAGTGCAAGATTACGGGTAAATATATCTAGTTTGGTATTAATTCCACGTACGTTCTGGTAGTAAATAGAAAAATTATTTAAAATTTTGCGTTTGCTCTGTCGTTTTTTAAGATAGTCGGCAAGCCGTTTATATATTTAATAAACAAATCGCTTTCACCTGAATCTTTCCGATTTTTCAATACAGCCATAATAGATGCAAAATATTTACGTTGTTGAAGGGTTTGATCAGATGAAATTCGAATAGTATTTAGATGGCTTACATTTAGTAGTTGCCTCTTCACTCTTAAGACTTCGAAGACATCAGATGAGTTAGGAAGAGTGACACGTAGTGGACGAGGTTTATTTGAGAGTTTACCTAATCGATGAATAGACACTGGATTAGTTTGTACACCGATGGTGTTAAGTATATCTTTGGCAGTTGAAGTATCTTGTGATTGACCTGGTACGGAAGGTTCGGGAACATTAAACAAAATTACATTGCGTGCTCGAGATTGACGATCCAAAAGTTCAGAATATACTTTTTCTTGAGCCGTAGCACCCAATGGTTCGGTATTTTGAGTGCTCGAGATTGACGATCCAAAAGTTCAGAATATACTTTTTCTTGAGCCGTAGCACCCAATGGTTCGGTATTTTGAGTACGTTCGATATCCAATAATTTAGTTTCAAGTTGTTCAACTTTTATCCTTAATGATTTATTATCATCAAGGACTTCAGTTAACTGAGTAGACAGTAGATCGATTTTTTTTTCTTGTGCTTTAATAGCATCACGATACGAGCTTAAAGATGCGAAAATTTTATTTTGTTGGCTTTTCAAGTCCTTTACCATATCCCACGAGTTGATTAATTTTAGTATTGGAATCCTTGTCTATAGTAACTGGAGAATCAGCCATAATTATAACGAATAATATTAATCAACTTATATTAAAACGTTTACGTATACGTAAGTGGTAAGTATAATATACGATTTATTATTTAACAGTAGAAATTTTTAATTGATATATTAATGTCACACGATAGTGAAACCGCGATAACTCACGAGAACACTACACTATGACCGCTGAATCGCAACTGATG